ACCTGTGTTTGCCGATATTATTTTTCCGTTCGTACAACGCATACTGTGAGCCATTATCAACTGGTGTTTGTCGTGCGTCAGAAAATGATAAGCAATCGCTGGTTTATCGGGTCCTCCTCGGTAATAACTCTTATCGATCGCAAATACCGTCCAATTCGGCAGAAGGCCAGCTAAAGTTTTACGGTTCACGTCGGTCACGCTTACCTTGAAGATATATACGCAGTACATCCTGAACTCCGTGAACGGTGCAACGTGTGTTCATCACCAGTTCCGGCATCAGGCTGCGTATCCGATTCGCGCTGACGTCCGCCCAGCAGAGAACCGGGAAACCACGGAAGTCCCTCTCAGACAGTGTCACCAACCGATTGTTCGCCACGTTTAGCTCCTCCAGAGACGGTAGCCATGTCTACGATCGTACGGTAGCGTTTCGTTGATTTTCACAGTTTAATCACTTAAAGTTAAACGAACGAAAGAAAACGGAGAATTTTAAATTAAATTTTAACCATTCCCGCTCGAGAGACGATTGTCGATCACCGCACGATTCAACACAGTAAAATTATGAAATGGAAAATTCAATAGTAAATTTTGAATAAGGTATCAATATTCGAAACACAGGAATAAAATAGTTCTGTCCCTTAATTTATGCAAGATTCTCCTTTGTGTAAATTGGAAATAGTATCACCGAAATTTCACCTGAAAATAATGGTTATTTGTAATAAAAAGCAAGGGCGCGTCAACTCGAGGGTGCAAGGGGTGCGCCACACCTGGGCGGCAACATTAATAAGGCGGCAAACAACAAGTATCTAATATTTATTTTATGCATATAATATCTAGTTTAATAGTAATGTTTTTCAATTTTTCCAGGGAAAATAAAAGTTTGCACCCAGGCGGCAAGCACATTTGACGCGTCCCTGATAAAAAGTATTCTCGTCTGCAAAGGGTTAAAGCCGGTCATTTGACTGCTTTACGGTACAGTTAGTGTCAATCGATAAACAATTGTGCAGTTTCTTTCACGTGTACCTCTGATGTATCTTCGAGAGTTGTGAGCTCGTTGTGAGAGAGATCGAGGACTTTGAGTCCGTCGAGACCCCGTAGATCGCGTGGCCCGATCGTCGGTCCCAGCGCGTTATGGCTGAGATTCAGCCTTTGCAGCTCCTTCATCCCCAGAAATAACGAACCGTCCAAGCTCCGTAACTCGTTGTGCTGAAGACGCATGTCCTGTATGTTGCCGCCAGCCGTTTCCTCTCCTTCTTCTTCCACTAAATTCTGTGAGTATGAGCAAAACATGTATTCGCCACGCGCGCTTTAAAAAAAAATAGAGATATTTCGAGCTGGGAATCGCCATAAGGTAAAGCAAACATTTTTCTAAATATTGTCTCTAGATTGTGACAAATGGTACTGGTATCAATTTAATGTATCTCTTAATCTATAAATATAATAAAAGCGAGAGTAAGTATTGGGAAACTATGATTAGGAACTATGACTCAGCTGACTACGGCCCTTGGTTTCTTTCTTTAACCCTAGATAACTACTCATCTAAATAATCACACATCTAAATAATCACACTTTAAACGTCTGCCAAAACTACAAACGTTACTTTTGAACACTTTTCTACTCTTTAATTAAATACTAATAATATATATCTTAAGTTATGCTACTTTGTTTGTAAAAAGTAGAAAAAATATAAAAATAAGTGTTTTTAATTTGTAGTCTATCAGTCGAATATTTAGTTACAGATTGACATTGATTTAAGTTTAATTATCTAGGGTTAACCTGATCATCTTGGTATTCTTTAAAAAGTATTTAAGAAAGTGTGAAGAATATTTGTCGGCCCTCAACACTGTATAAAAAGTACAGTTGCTATACTTAATAGCACTATTTAATATACCTATACTGTGCAACATAGCTTCATTTAGAAAAGACAAGAACAGTAGAACCTCGATTGTCCAGAAAAATGGAAGCTTGAGAAGAACTTGTTCAAAACATATTTAAAAAATTCGATGGTATATATTCCAAGATACAGTCTAAGAGTCCTAATTATTAACTCATTACTTACCGGTAGCCGATTAATAGACTTTACATGGCCAATGCTTATCAAGCAGTTATCTATAACTAGGCTTCCTAAATCTTAAACGTTGAGTGTCTTATGTTTTCAACGTTTTATAATTTTGAATATTAATTCTTGCAACAACTGCTATTAATTGTCACTAATCGCCTACAAAAAGCATGATGTCTTAAGTTTTTATTTTATTTTTATTTTTAAGTGTTGATTATAAGCTAAAATAATCCGGTAATTAATATATTCGGTTCCAATTTAATCAAGATTTTAGAGAATCTAGATTTTGGAAATCATCGACGCGGTTAATCGAGATCCTACTGTAATTTCAATCTCCTACCCAATTGGAATAAATCGATGAAGAATCCATCGATCGTAATGCAGTTTTACTTAACAGGTTACACTTATGGCCGGAGCCTACGTAATGGAGGTTGAAATGCAGAGAAACACAAAGCGTGTTGCTCTCTCCAAGTTCATTACTGTC